ACAAAAGTCTGCTGCCTGGTGAGTGACACCATTTGCTGTGGTTGCTCCCGAGTAGGCTGGGCTCCTCTTTGCGAGGTGTGTACTGCTAGTTAACCTGTAATTGGGCGAGCTGTTAAAATTGAAAAAGCAGCTATTAAGATTTTGTTGTAATACCCTGCTCTAAAAATGAGTTGTTTGGCTGTGGACAGCTGTGAAAAGACTGAAATAGTTTACTTGCTCTGAAAATAATATGAGTTATACAGCATTTGTCCTCTACTTTGGATCCAAAACCAGACTGATGCTAAAGTCTTTTTTTGGAGGGGGAAAAGATCTTACCCAGTACAGAAGGTATTGATGGTCAGTGTAAAACAAATACTCACATGGGGGTAGTTTCTGTCAAATATGTTGCTGTTTGAGCAAAATTCTGGAAAACACCTGACTTGCTTTGGACTTTTTAAGGGAGGTTCTTTTTTGCTTGTTAATATTTCTTTTATTTCCTTACTTTCCATTGCAACAGCTGGATGTTGTGCACATCAAGGTTTAAGTGTTAACAGGTTGCTTTCTTTGCCCTGTCCCACAGGTAGGAAGAGGGCGCAGGCATCCAGGAGCGTGGCACTGCCTGTCTCTGCTGCCTTCCCTCAGCACAGCCCTTCTCTGCAGCGATGGCTTTAGAGCTTTGCTTACCCTGGGGACATGCTGCAGCCTCAGGCACAGACAGCCTGCAGGGTCCAGAGAGATCTTGTTGTGCAAAAGAGATGCTGGGTGTGTATGGACGTGCACTGACATTCAAATACACCCGTGCTACCGGCGCAGTTCCCCCTTTGGTGCCAGTTGCCTGTTAGAAATCTCTCCACATCGCTCTGGGGAGGGTTGTAGGTTTGCCGTCTTTTAAGAGGGTCTCCACTGGTGTCGGGTGTGCCTGGGGATGCACCAGTGTGCCTTGTGTTGGTGGTAAGACTGAGTAGGTGCTGGAGAGTTGTTCCAGGTGCTGTGCAAAGGCTGTGGCACACCTGGGACCTTGACCACCAACTACTGCATTCAGCCTAAGTTCCATTTTTCAGCCATGCCATTTACACTATATTTTGTCTTAATAGACCAAACAAATCCATTAGACTGATTGTTGTTGTCCTGCAAGCGGGCTGCCAGCCCCTGCCCGAGGAAATGCAGCGGGGCAGCAGCCCCATCTGTGGGGATGTGCTGCAGGGGAAGCTGTGCTCAGGCTCTTCTTAAACGAAGCATCTTTGGAGCCTTGGCTCAGCCTTGCTGTTCCCTAGAGCTGCCTGGAGCCATGGCCTCTCAGGAGCCAGCTGTGTACCAGGCTGGTGTTTTCCAGTGGCAAGGCTGGTGAGGTGGCTTCCAGGTGACGCCGGTGGCTTTTGTGCCCATGGGGAAGGGGTGCATGTCACCCGGCAGAACCTGGATTCCCCACAGCACCTGGGTTATCCTAATTAAATTGAACTGGTTTAATGCATGTACTCCTAGTAACATATTCTGCTTTCAGCTGTGCACAGACCTGCTCCAGAGACCAAGGCTCACACCTTCCCCCAGGAGCAGGGACAGGTCCCAGAGGGATGCGTGGACCTGTTCTTGCAGGGCGACCTGGGGCGCAGCCACCCCCTTCTCCATCTGCAGGTGAGTCCCAGGCCACAAAACCTTATTGCAAAGGCTTTTTGCAAGCTCCTGAGGTGGTGTGGGGTGTATTACCCCAGGAAGCAGGGAACCCCAGGCACCCTGTGCCTGCGTGAGCGCAGGGACAAGGTGTTGCTCCGCAATCCCTTGAGAAATTGAATCCAGCATGCTATCACCCTGCTAATACTGGGAAATAAACTTTCTTGTGAGTGAAAAGACAAGTGCCATTGAAAGCCTTACGTGCTTCACCATGAGGCTGTCTGATAGGGTGCTGTGGTAGCCTGGTGTGGCTTGGGGCTGTCATACCCACACCTGCGCATCCCGTGGGAATGGGGGTGTTCCTGCAAACACAGGGCTGGCCGAGCACACAGCGGCTTGGGTACAGCCAGGGCTACGGCTTCACACACAAGCTCACTGAACAGAGCTTCGCTGGCTTGTTTTATGTTTTGTCACATTTTGCCTTGCATGTTTTCAAGGGGCAATTAAAACAGTACAGGGCTGGCTTTTAGTGGGTTGCGTGCTCCTGCCCTGGCAGGGTACAGCCCTGTGTTATGCAGCAGATCAAGCACAGGCTCAGAAGAGCCCATCTCCTCTTCAAACACGGAATTTTACACTTGAAACCCAACTTATCCTCTTTGTTTGCTAAAAGTTTTCCCTGTAACCAAAGCTTGAATAGTTTAGGTAACATAACATCAGCAGTGGGCTTCAGAAGCTGCTGGTGTGTGTGTAAGGGCTGCTACTGCCAAATGTAATTACTCTGGATTATTCTGGGATATTGACTATCATATCTACTTTTTAGACTTAAGCTTCATACTTTTTTTTTTTTTTTTAAAAAAAAACTGAGTTATGCCACATAGGCACTTGGAGTATTTGAAATTAAAGTTAATGCTTTGTGTTAATATATTCAAATGGAAGCAACCCAAAATAATGCAGTTCATGCCCAAATGACAGCTTGGGAGTTTTCTTTCTTAGGGTTTTGTCGTGAAGGTGAAAATGTGCTGTGAGGACAACATCTTGCCCGATGCATGTGGCCAGTGCGGCCAGCTGGGCTCTGTCCCTGGGGGGGGCATGGCAATCCCCCAAGGAGGGCGATACCATCCTGAAGACAAGCAGGACCCCCCCATCTCAGGCAGGACCCAATTTCTCAGGCTGGGTATCCATATCCTGCCCCACAGCAGGGAAAAGCGGAGCGCGCAGCGGATGGGACCCAAAAGGGCTCAGCTGTCTCTCAGTGCCCTCCAGGAAGAGTCGTGAACAGGCAGGGCAGTGGGGTTGCCACTGGCAGCAGGTCTAGAGGACCAGCTTGGGCAAACCCACCTGGCAGGCGTCGCCTTCGTGTTAGCCTTTCCAATGGCCTCACCCCATGGGAATTTGGGTTTTCAGAGATTTCTTCACTGCGGGGTAAAAACTGGTCTAGAAGAGTGTGTGAGCAGGGGTTGCCTGGCAGCCAGGGTGGCACCAGAAAAGCTGGTGGAAACTCTGCAGGTGGACACTGGAGTCAAAATCTGGGAGGCTGGGCTTGATGGTGAAGCTCTGGGCCTGGCAGCTTTGGGTGGGCATCTCCCCCCAGGACTTGTGTGTGTCTTCTTCCCCCTCCTGGGCTGCTGCTGTGCCCAGTCACCCCCATGATGAAGACTTGAAACGTTTTTACGTTCACCTTAACCTACAGTGGCAGAAGATGTTTATGTTCTCCTCGACCTGGATGGGGAGCAGAGCTTTCCCAGGGGCTGAACCTTTGGCAGCTCCAGCCTTTATAGCAAGATGCAAAAGGGGAAATCTTCCTCAAGTGATGTGGCTGTGTCTCAGCTGTGCTGGTATATAAGGTCTGGTGCAAACATCATGGGAGAGGTTCATAACCCCTTTAGGTCCTTGTCTTGCTCATGGATCTGGATTTAGAGTTGGTGTGTGCATGTAATTAAACAAACAAGATGAGGTGGGGAAGTGGAAGTCATAGATTTTACCAGGCCAACCACTACAGCTGGAAGAAGTAAACAAGCTTCTGAGTGCCCTGACCCTCCTTCAGGTATGTGTATCTATATATAGGACTGTCTATATATACACATTTATATATAAACGTGTGTGTATATATATAAATATGTGCTGATAAATAGCTTGAAATTGCAGTAATGTTGTGAGATCATTTCTGTTCACACCACACCGTGTCAGGTGTCAGTCAGGCTGGATATGGCCCCTTCAGTGCGTGTGCCTCCCTGCGCCCCCGACCTTCAGCTTCCTCTGAAGACGAAGGTCACCCTGCAGCGTGCCACCCGCTCTGCCTCCTTCCTGCCGAACCCGATCCCTTGGGTGCGCAGCCTGGCCGAGCCTGCCGCCAGAGCCAACCCTGCTGAGGGCCGCAGCATGTTTTATGGGTAGGGTTTAGGGAAGAAACACAGATTTGCAAGAGCACAAAGGGCACGTAGGTTTGGAGTTTGGGCTGCGTGCTGGGCATGGCGTATTTGGGTGATGTTGGCTTTTGTAGAAGTGGGGTTTTCCCAGTGGTTTTGGGAGATGTGCAGGGAGCTTCGAGCAGCCCCAGGAGCTGAAAAAAAGCAGAATATGCTTGGTGCTGTACCAGGGTGATGGATGGGCTGTCGCTGCAGGGTCTCCTCCTGTGCCGAGGTGCTGCGTGGCAGTTGCCTTTGTAATTGGGAAGAAATACGGCCGCCGGTGCTGGTGGAGCACTGGGCACGTGTCAGGGTTACCACGCTGGCAGCCGGAGGCTGCAGGGCCACAGTGCCCCTGCTCGGGAACCACGGAGGATATTGTGCACAGACAAGGGCCAGCGCTTCCCTTTGTGCCTCGAGCTGCTATCAGGGAATTTATGGCGGTGGCAGAGGGGGGGGAGCCCCCCGCTGACCCCCCAAAAGCTGCTCTTGGGGGCCGAGCACGGCATAGCCACCCCGTGCAGGGTGGAAAGCAGTTTTCCCGCTCAGGGTGCTGCCTCCAACCCCAAATCCGCTCCCGTGCCCCTTGCCCGGGGCTGAGGCCGGGCTGGCCGTGCAGCTGCCGGCTGTTCTCCCCCCCGCGCCCCGGCCTGGGGGGCTGCAACCCAATCCCTTCCCCTTCCCGAGGGTTCCGCCGAGCCCCGTTGCCCGGCCGTGGGTGAAGCCGCTGACAAGGTATTTCTCAGCGGTAACCCGAGGCGCAGCCCCAGCGCCTCCGTCTCGGAGGGGCGGACAAGTTAATTCCCCAGATTTATGCGCCCCCCGAGCCCCAGCATCTGCTGCGGAGGGCGGCGCAGCCGGGGCCGTGCGGGGGGTGCCCGGGGCCGGGCACAGGTGCGGGGCCGCCGCCCGCTTATAAATACCCCGGTGGCGGCGGCGGTGGCGGGGAGGGGCGTCGCGTCCCGGTCCCCCCCGGCCGGGGCTCCGCGGTGAAGCGGGATGCGGCGCGGCGCCCTCCCTCCCGCCGGCAGCATGAGCCCGTCCTTCCTCTTCCTCCTCCTCCTCCTCCTCGCCTTGCCCGCCCGCGGCCGGCGAGAGCAGGTGCCCGGCGGGGCGCAGCCGGGGCCGGCGGGCCGCAACGCCCCCGCGCCTTCCTCTTCCTCCTCTTCCTTGTCCTCCTCCTCCTCCTCCTCCTCCTCCTCCTCGGCGGCGGGGCCGAGCCGCTTCCCGCGGAGCCGCCCCGGGCGGCGGCGGGGCCGGCTGTACTGCCGGGTGGGCATCGGCTTCCACCTCCAGCTGCACCCCGACGGCCGGGTGGACGGCGCCCACGATGCAAGCCCGCTCAGTGAGTGCCTGGGGGGGTGGGCGGGGGGATGGGGGGGGGCGTCTGGTTGTGCCACAGCTCGGGTGGGGGCAGCGGGGCGCTCCCCCTGGGGCTGCGGCATCCCCCATCCCTGGGGGTGTCTTCTCTGGGGTGACGGAGCCCCTTGTTCCCTGCTGCCTTCACCTGGGGTGAGGTGCAGCCTGAGCAGCCTCGGGAAAGGTGAATTTGGGGTGCTGCCTGCCCCGGGAGGCTGTGGCCGGAGGGTGCTGGGGGTGCTGTGCCCTGGGGCTCAGGGGGGACATTGCTCCACGGAGCGGGGCGAGCTCTGCCCTGCTCACTTTGGGAAGTGCTGCCCTGCGGGGTTCAGTCGCTTTGAGGAAGCAAGTCTGTGGGGATCGATGTGAAGGCGTGAGGTTTGTGGTCCCACCACAGCACCTTGCTGGGGTGCCGGGGTGGAGGATGCTGTACTGGGCTCTCCCTCGTGCCCCTTTTCTATCCTTTTCTCATGTAACTTTTCCATCCTTCCCTCTGCATTCTCATCCTTCCAGCACAGCGATAGGATATATTCAGTTTAAAAATAGGACTGAGGCTGACGTTCCCTTGAGAGAAAGCTGTGCTAACTCATGGCTTATCCTTTGGGTCGGAGTTGCCGTGATATCCTGTTAGAGGGAATGAAATGGCAAGCGGGGATGAAAAATCACTTAAAGAGCCTGAGGGCTTGGGCCTGAGGTGACCCTGGCAGCACGGATGGCTTCAGCTGTTGGGCGTGCTCACGGGGCAGCGGCCACGTCTGCCCTGGACCAAATAATTTGGGCCATGGTCTGTGCTGTGGCCCCGTGAAGGAGGGCAGCCTGCAGGCAGGGGTGCCCGGAGGCCAGAAATCCTGTCTGGGGCTTCAAGGAGCGCTGGGGGTACCTGGCCAAGAGGGGGGTAGGGAGCTGCAAAAGGGATGGGTGGGAAAAATGAGCATCTACGCCGGGGCTGTTTTGTGAGACGTGAGTTTGGAGGGGCTGCCTGTGCAGTGCCCCTGCTGAACCCTCTCCTGCAGCGGCATGGCAGAGGGGCTTGTCCCCTGTGAGACACGCGCAGCGTTTGATGCCACGGATGTCTGGCAGGGGCTTTGATTATCTGAAGTTCCTTCCTCTTTAATCTGAGATTTTCTCCCCGGAAATGCGACTGTGGCACCAGCTCCACACTTTGGAGCAGAGCCAGCCCCAGCTGGGGGCACGTGCCAGTCACGGGGGGTGCGGAGGGCCGTGCTGGGATATTGCCTCTAGGAGCTGTGCCCCTGGGGGAAAAAGTTGACTTTTGGCAGGGAAACCCCAGCTTTGATCCCTGGGAAAGTGGGCTTGACCCAGGGGGGGCACCCCAAGAACCAGGAATATGACTCCCAGCCAACATGGCCCCCCCCCCCTCCCCCAAAGGCCAGCAGGTTTTGGGGTGCCCTCGAGGACAAGGAGCGTGCTGGCGAGGGGGGGCTGCACAACCCCATGCTTCTTGGCAGCCATTACCACTGGGGCATGTGGGGTGAGTGGGGGCAGCCCACCAGACCCCTAAAGTGCCCCTCCCCCAAAGCCCTCGGTGTCGGGACCTGGGTGCTTCCGTGAGCTGCGCTTCCTCCTTAAAATAAACATGGGAAGTGGTGATCCGATCCCCCGGCCTCGGGGATTTAACGGTGGCTTCATGTTTGCTCTTGGCACGTTAATCCGCGCGGACTTTCGCTGGGGCCAGGCGAGATGCGGGCTCCTTCCTCTGGGGCTGGGGCCACCAAAACCCCCCCCGGGGCCATGCCAGGGCTGAAGCTGGGGATAGCAATGCTGTTTGTTTTTTTTTTTTTTTTCTCCTGGGGTGGGAAGGGCACATTGGGGATGTGGTGCTTACCCTGGCTCACCCCGGCTGGTGGGGGCGTCGGGAGGACGCCTGACCCCTGCTGCCACCCTTCCTCTGCCTGGGGGGACACCATGCTGTGGGGGGAAGCGAAAGGTGTTGGTGCTCTTGCTGAACGATGCTCGGAGGTTGAAGCTCTTCTGTAAGATGAGTTATAGGTCATGCACACCCCTCTGGGGGCCAGAGCCCAATCCCGCTCAGAAAACACCCATGTGAGGGGAAAACGTCTTGTTTTCTCATGGCTGGGTTGTGTAGTGCCCTGCTCCCTGAGTCCTGCTGCAAGAAGGGGCCTAAGAAACCATTATTGGTACTTCTAGCCCCAAATGGTGTGTGTGACACCTTTATGTCCAGAGTCCAGTGTGTATGGGAGGAGGATGGGCAAGGCTGATCTCAGCAGGCTGGCTATAGGCACAAGGGGCTTTTCCCACCCTTGTGAGGGATTTCCCCAGGGGTAAACTTGCTCTGTCGCAGCAGAGTCAGAAATTGTCTTCCAAAATATGCAGCTTTTTTAAAAAAAAAGCAAACACACAGAACAAAACTGCCATCCTGGAGTCGATGCAGGTCCCTGAACAGAGCAGGAGCAATGCGTGGAGCCAGGCAGCTGAGGAGCAGTGTTGTGTGGAGAGGAATTGCAAACCTATGAGAGTGATTTTTTTTTTTTCTTTTTTTTTTTTTTTGTCACACTGATGTGAAAAGAACTGTGATTTATTTTGGGATTTCTGTCATCCTAGGTATTTTGGAAATATTTGCTGTGTCTCAGGGGATTGTAGGAATACGAGGAGTTTTCAGCAACAAATTTTTAGCGATGTCAAAAAAAGGAAAACTCCATGCAAGTGTAAGTAAACCCCCTGCTTATCAGTATGTATTGTTTATTAAAGGCCTTGTGACACCTTCACATGCACGCGGCAGCGATGCTCCCGGGCAGGTCCCCGGTGTGTCAAGCCCCTTTGGCTGCCGGGGGGGGCTCCACGCTGGGTGGCATCGGCACCACACAGACAGATAGGGGACAGGTGGAGCCCAAAACCCCAAAGCCCATATCCCTACTTACTGCATTTAACCGCGGAAAGTGCTGCTTTTTTTTTTTTTTTTTTTTTTTTTTTTTTTCTTTGGCAGTTGGGTATTTGCATCAAAAGGACTTGTTCTTTGAGCATTGCTGGTTTATTTTTAGCAACTTCTGCAGCAGATCACGCAGACGGTTTTAGCCAAATGTCTGCCAGAGAGCGGCATGCATGGCGCCGGCAGCCCGCCTGCGCCCGTGCGCGCACGGGGAAGGGGCTGTGGCCCTGGACTTTTGTCTGGGTTCACCCACGGGAGAGAGATGTCCCCCGGTGAAAGCAGGGTTTCAGGCAGATGAAGTCCAGCCCATGTGGGAGAGTTGCAGCTAGAGTGGAAATATCCCAGTAACTCTTGGTTCTGAAGGTTGGGGTTCTGCAGGTCTAATTCTGCTTTTTCCAGGCTTTTGGCATTGAAGGAATCCTATAAGTTCATTTCAGTTCTTTTTTCAACTTCAAGATGCTGCTTCCTATTTTTTTTCTGTTTATTCTAGAGATCATTTAAATAAATGTAATAAGTACTGTGCTTACACAAAAATCGTCATCTTTTTAAAGGTGTGTGTATAAAAGCAACCCCCAAAGAAGGGCATTTTTAAGGCAGCATCTCGGATGTTTGTTCCAGGGAGCCTGTTCAGGGCTGATAGCCTGGAAGAGGGAAAAGACAATTGGCCTGCCCCACAGTTACGAGCCACACCTCAGGGTTGTGAAGTGGATGTTACTGATGTGCTTACGCTGCCTGAGCCCACCGATTGCCTTCAAGTGAGATTTATGAACTCGCTTCTCTCTCTCTCTTGAGTCTTACTGGAGTGTTGCTCCTGAAACCTAATGATGCTTAAAGGGGGAGCACATGGTCGCTTGTTTTAGGAAACAAAATAGGAGCAGGAACGGTGTCTAGGGAAAAGAGGGAATGGTTGTATGGAGGAAAACATGAGGGAAGGAGACGGGGCGGGAGACGGGTAGAGCAGGAGGAGAGCAGTTGCAAGGTAAAGGATGGAGAGGAGAAGGGAGCAGGCGGAGCGTGATCCCCAGACCCTCCAGAGCCTCCCCGCCCTCGTGGTGTACAATGGGCCCCTTATTTGAGCTGAAGCCTTGATTTATGCCCTGGTGCAGGCAGAAATTAAATCAAACCTCGTCGGTGTATGGTTAATTGTCAGCAACAAAGGGCAGTGCCAGAGAGGGACCTCAATTAGGTGGGTCAGAGCGGGGGGTGAGGACACACGATGCCCTGCTCGGATGAAAGGCATGAATTTGTAGAAACTTGACCCAAATGTCTAAAGATTGCTGGGCTAAATAACGCCGATAATGCAAACCCGGCATCTGTTGTTCTTTCCTGCCTTGGCAGGATAAAGTTATTTCATGGCCTAATGAGTTTTGAACAGTACAAAGCGCGTCCTGCGCCCGTCACTCAGGGCAGAGCTTTGATATGGGAGTCACGCCGGTGACTTTGTGCTGAACTGCAGATAAAAGTCATTCCTGCAGGGATTCAGGCTCCTTCGAAACCGGCGCTCAGGGCCCGGCTTTATCCCAGCTCAGTGCTTTACAGCAGCCCTCTTCCTTTTTTTTTTTTTTTTTTCTTTTTGATAGCAACTTAATTAAATTACCAATTGGTTAATTTTTAGAGGCACCAGCTTCAGAAAATAACAGTAATCCCAGCAATTATCAGTTGCGTGCACAGATGGCTTTTTCCTCGTTGATAAATCCTCAGTCTTCTGTTTGTACATTTTTAGCATTGAATGGGCAGGAGAAGGTTTGGTCTGTCTCAGCAGGGGCCAGCATGAACCCCAGAGGAGAGGTTTGCCTGTAGGGATCTCAGGTAATTCTCCTTTTTCAGGAGTTGTTCTGAGTTGACCGAACACCGCAGTCCTCACTGGGAAAAATCTCCATTGAATTGAATTTTGAAATTTAATTGACTTTGGGACTGCTCTTTGTGATTGCCTCTGGAGCTGCTGCAGAGCAAATCTGACGGCCAGCCAGCGTGCCGTGGCTGAGCCGCCTGCCCTGTGCTGGAAAAAATGCCTTTTCCCTGGTTGAAACGGTGTGGTTGCTGATCTGGGAGGCTGAGACGTGGGGAAGCCTGTCAGAGTGATGGCGAAGCAGCAGCTGATGTGTTTTGCAGGGCAGTTTGCTGACTGGGGGCGAGGGCTTCCCTCCGCATGTGCTGGCTGCGGGTTTCCTTCTTCCCCGTACCGCTGGTGGGAGCAGCCTACGGCATCGCTCTGTGCCCAGGGCTGGGGAGCCCTCACACTTCCCCAAATCCCACTTTGGAGGGGATGCTACACTGACTCTCAGGGAACAGTTCCCCCAAACCCACTTTAAGCAGGAAGTTTTCCTGTGATGCTCCAGACGGGGAGCTGGGCAGCCCTCTTACTGCTGCCTCCCTTTGCGGGGTGGCATTGCCCCAGAAATGCTGGGCCAGATTGATAATGCTGGTTTGGCTTCCCCACGAGCATAGCAGCCGTGAGCTTACCCGTCTGTACAGGGATATGTATGAGCAGGAGCACGAGCACCTTCTCCACTTCACAGCAGGGCTTGCAAAGCCCGCTGGAGCCAATTTTGATATTGGATCCTCAGACGTGACCAGCCTCGATGCCCGGGGCAGGGCAGCCAGCTTCATCTCCTACACCAAAAAAGCCTGCTCTTGCCATTTGCCCAGATCCCCCTGGGAACCGCAGGGCCTGTTTCAGCACCTTGTGCCCTGAGCACCCTTTCAGGTGTGCATTGGTGCCTTGGTCAATCCTAAAACCTCCCTGTGCGGAGGCCGATGTGGGGGGTGCTTCGCCCAAGCACAGCTGCATGTGTCGGGGCTTCGGAGAGCAATGAGGGGTCAGCAAAGCCTTGCTTTGGTAAGGTGAATACTTGCGCATACAGCATAGAGGACGTATAAAAGACAGGGAAAGCAAAAATGAGTCATCCAGGTGACATTTCTTTCAAGCATTCAGCAAAAGGAGACTTAATTCAAAGTGCTATGAGGAAAAAATGCATGGCAGGCTGGGGATTCTATCACTTGTATTGTAGGACTCAACTTCTCTGGTTAAATTAGGAGTTTAAAAATCATCCCAGCCAGTTGGGCTTTCTGCGGGGTTATAAAGCACTGCTTTGGGGTTTTATCTTGTTCTCCATTGTTGGGGGTTTTGAAGCTCAAAGAGCTCAGGCTCCCTATCATGTCAATAGTTTTGAAGCGTTGCCTTGCCGTTGGGCTGCAGTGCCCTAGGCGTGGCTGGAGAAGCCATCAGGGCACTGAGTACCTTGCCCACGGTCAGATTAAAGCATGGCAAAGGGTGTCAGATGGGCTGCTGGAGGCTGCAGCCAGGTGTCCCAGGGCCCTGGGTTATTAGCTGGGGCGTTATGGCTCTATGTTTGTATTTCTGCAGGGTTTTTTTTGTTTGTTTTTTTTTTTTTCCTTCGCCCCACTTGACTACGGCGAGGACCTGTTATGGTCAGCATCAAGCCTGTGCTCTCGGGCAATGGGAAGTCTTTTTCCCTGGCCATCTGGGAGCCAGTGTGGCTACCCTGTTTATGAGAAGTGATGCTTTCGAGCTGCTAGTAATTTCTGCAGGTTATCAAGGGACAAAATGCCCCGAGTTAATTTAAGACAAAGAAGAAGAAGAAGAAAAAAAAAAAATCCAATACAATCAAAGCCATGTTCAGTGAAGCAATGAAAATCTGCATGCAAATTGCCTTTCCAGATTATTAAGTGATGAGTCAGTGCCCAAACGAGGGGTGTGAGTGTGGGAACAGAGATGGAGCAGGGGCTCAACCCCAGGGTCCTCAGCAGGGCTGCAGCATGGTGGGTACGGAGCCACATCCTCCCTCCTGTCAGAGGGAAGGGCAGAGAGCTGGGGCGGGAGGGAAGGGTGCTGCTGGGGCAGGCAAAGCCTCTTTTTTTTTTTTTTTTTTTTTTTTTTTCCATCAGGTCCAAAATTGGGTGGCGAGCAGCTACTTGAAAGTATCTCTGTCGAGGGTTTTCCAAATTTCTGGGTGCCCGGCAGCCTCAGAGTGGGTTTCCCAGGTGCCCCATGTTTCTGTTTGCCCCTTTGGACCTGGTCTGGGGAGACTTAAAAACCCAGCAAAGTGTCACGGGGCAGGGGAGGGGTGAAAGCAGCCCTTTGCTAACGCTGCCCCCGGCTCTGTCCCCGCAGGCCCGGTTCACGGCAGACTGCCAGTTTCGGGAGCGCTTCCAGGAGAACAGCTACAACACCTACGCCTCGGCCGTCCACCGCAGCCCGCGCTCGGGCCGACAGTGGTACGTGGCGCTCAACAAGAGGGGCAAAGCCAAGCGGGGCTGCAGCCCCCGCGCCCGGCCCCAGCATGTCTCCACTCACTTCCTCCCCCGTTTTTGGCAGCCCCAGCCTCCCGAGCTCGCCTTCACCGTCACCCTGCCCGAAAAGAAGGCCCCGCCGCCACCGAAACCGAAGGTCGCCCCATCCCTGCCTCGGAAAAACCCCGGCCCCGTCAAGTACCGGCTGAAGTTTCGCTTTGGGTAGTGTGCCATGGCAGGGATGCCGGCGCAGGAGAGACCGGGCGCCTGGGCAGCGTTTGGGGGTGATGCTGTGGGAGACCTGAGCTCCCCCCCTCCAGGTGGATGTGGGGAAGCTCTGGGGTAGCCGGGTTGGGCTCGGGGTCTTTTCTTCACCCCACCAGCCGGACAGCATCCTCAGAGGTGTGCTCTGGGACAACGTAACTTGGGTTTTCCAAAGAGTATTCCTGTGGTGAACAGAAAACACTTGATGGACCTCGGGTTAATTTTCTGTTGTTGAACGAAGCAGAAAGTACCTCTACGGTGAACATATTTTCTTACCTTATTTTCACTAGTGACTCTTTTGACAATCATTTTCATATAAGAGATATGTTCAGAGCCAACCGATTAAGTGGATTTCTTCCTTCCTTTTTTTTTTTTTTTTTTTTTTTTTTGCATTTCCTTTTTGCTGCACTTTTTTCCTCTGACCATACCTCAAACACTGTATACCCAGGCCTCCCCTTTCCCCTTCTCTTACAAACCAGCTCTTCCCTTCCACAACAGAACAACAAGACAAAGCCCAACCAATTCATTCACCTTATCTGTGGTGCAAGGGGGTCTTAAAACTCTTTGTTGGCAATAATAGATGAAAATATTTTTGCTGAAGGGTTGCAGGCTTGGGGAGGGCAGCGGTTTGCAGCCCTGCTCCTGGTGGTCTCTCCTGTTCTTCAGTGGACAGCTGGAGGAGCAAGTCTCCTCCTGTCCATCAAAGTATGGTTTCGATGTCTGTGTTTAAAATACCTCTGCCCCGGTCCCCATGGCATTCCTGCTCACAGGGGGAGGGGGCTGCGCTGAGACCCCTCCCTAGGGGGGCATGGCCGAGGGGAGCCCGGCTGTGCCCCTGCTCCCAGGGGATGGGGATGCCTTTGGCCCCCGGGTGCTCACTGGTTTCTTCCAACCGTTTGCGCTGCTGATTTATTTTATCATGCACAATATACTTACAGAGAGGGGGGGAAGGGTTTTGTTTTACAGCAAGCGTGGCGATGTGGCAATAAATGCTGTTATAGCTACTTGTACCTTTGGAAGTGTTTTTTCCCACCCAGGCTGCCCTATGGGCCCCAGCTGTCAAACTGTTTCCCCATTGTGGTGTTATCTGTGGAGTAGTTGTGTGTATGGAGTTTTTAATCCGCATTTAGCTGTGTTGTGTACGTACAGAAAATGGTAGCATTGAACCTCACCGGTCAAGCCTTAATACGAGCCCAGGTGGGCTCGCGTTAGCAAAACCCCTCCGGACCTGAGCCCTGCTAGTGTCGAGTAGCAATAACTGGGGCAGGCGGCACTGCTGAGCCTTTTCTCCAAATCTGGTTCAAAAATGGCTATTTCCATTGAAATTGTGGTTCGTTGCCCATCATCCTTCTGGGCAGCCCCCGACTGGCCGCATCCTCTCCACACAGCAGGAAATGCTTTTGCACAAGGGCGCGTGTTCCACATGCGGGGATGGATGGGGATGCCGGAATAAAATATAATCGTGCTTCATTTTATAACCTGGTTGTGTAATCTCTTGCCTGTGTGCTGTCTGTGCATTTTTTCATTTTCTTCCCCTGAAGGAGAGAAATCAGTGTGGCTAAATTAGCCGCTATGCATGTTTTTGTTGGAGGGTTTGGCCAGCGTGGTATCGGCGGCGGGTTGGAGCGGAGCAAAATCAGTGTGCGTGCTTCCTTTGTATGCCATGCTCCACATACTGGGTGCTGAGACAAACCTCCTGTGGCTCCTCTGGGGTGGCTGGTGGGGTCTGAGTGGCAGCAGGGCGGTGCAAGCCAACCACGGGCGCGCTGTGTGCCTCGGGCATTGCCAGGGAGATGGCCTGTCCGTGAATTTGCAAAATTCAAATAACGCTGCTTATCTGCCGTTCAGCAGCCAGGAAGAATTAGGTGTAATTAATGCTCAGTGAAGTATGGGGCCACCTAAATGAACTAATTGAATGAAAATATTTGCAAGGATCCATGCAGGAGGGTGCCAGCCTGAGCCTTAGCCCGGTGTGGGTGCCTGGAGCTCCCTGGGCAGGTAGAGGGGAGAAAATATGCTGGTCCCTTGCTGCCACTACTTTCCCTCAGAGGGAAAAGGCATTTTTAAAATTTTAAGGAAAAATCTTGTCGATAAGCTGCCTATAAGACAAAAAAATGGTTTGATCAGAGTGTTTCTGGGCAAAAACTGATGCCGAACTGAGCTGCAACGGCAGCATCCAGTGTTTTCCATAGCAACTGCCGGGAAGTGCTGCTTGCTCTGTTGTGGTTGCTGGGAGGGAGGCGAGGGCGGGAGGGCCACAGTTTGAGCACATTGCCCTTGGGACTCACCCGAAGAAAGAGGGGTGCTGCAGGCAGTTGTGTTCCCCTGAGCCAGCCCTGCCTGCAGGGCATGAGCACCACAGTCACGTCGTGCCTGTGGGTCTGGTTGAACCCTGTTTCTCCTGACGTCCCTCACTGTTCCCACCAAGGAGGAGGATTTATCATGTTTCAGAGCTGTCTGGATGAAATTTGGCCGAGGAAGCAGCCTGGGTGTCTTCTCCCCCCGGGGCTGGTGAAAGCTGCGCTCTCCTACCTGGGGTGGATGAGGATGAGAGTGCGCTGAGGGTGCTTTCCCCCCTCTCGCCCCATTTCTCAAGGGGCATGAGGGCTGCCACACTGCACATTGAGGGCTGCTGCTGAAACAGTGACATTTTACTTGGGGTTTCTGGCAGCCAGGAGCAGCCCCATAGCACACAGCTAAAGGGTACTAACAGGCGCAGAAGACTGCAGGGGGGGGGGGAGGCTGGTGCTTTAATATTACAGTAATTATTAAAATGCAGTTATGCTATTGGAATGAAGAGACTGTGCCACGGCAGACAGAAGCCTGCTAGCAACCTCAGCAGAGAGCCTAATGCAAGCTAATCGAAGTGGTGGGGACTGACAAACCCTTTCTGTTCCTTTCTGGCCACTCTTCTGCAAGGAAGTTAAATAGGTTCGCTTATCAGGAGGAGACTGAAGGCATTTAAAAAACAGGTAAATATCTCTGATATATTTAAAAATAGCCTATCGACAACTTCAGACACTTTTAAGGAATAAAGGTAACTTTTTCAGTGTGTTAACATTTCTTGCACTTTAAAAGTGGTTTTGGTGTTGGCTTACATTTGTTTACAGCTGTTGGTTACATTTAAGCTTTTCTGGCTACTGCTTTTGCAAGCGGAGCAGAGGGCATGTTGCACCGACCAACTGCTCCCTGAACAGGACAAGAAGCCCAAAACCTGTAGCAGAAGCCCAGAGCCTCCTGCGGTCCTGCTCCTGAGGCAAGGGGGAGCCTCCCTCACGCTTCAGCAGGCAGGGATTTACTTGGGAAAAAGGACACGAGACCAAAACACTTCTCTTCCTCTTTCCTGCTTGTTGGCAGCACTCAGTCTTCCGTGCTGGTGGAGGTATTGCTCCTGTGAAATCAACGGGAACAAGGCTATGCTCAGTATTGTGGCTTGAGGAGGGGAAATTGCTGCGACAGTCCAGCAAAAGAAGAAAGGCTCTGGCTCCAGCTTTGCAGCTCTGTCTCTGACATAAACTATCCTGTCAGCTGCTCCTGTTTCATCCAAGTGGATTTATCATCTTGGCTTCAACAGCAACAACGCTAATTGGACTCTTAAACAGATTTTTGTAGTTATTTTACATAAAAGCTCTTCACATTGCCTTTAAATCTTGTTGCACACAGAGAAAAAGCCTTCTGGAAAAAAAAAAGGAGGAGGGGCCTTCCTACGCCCCTTTTTGGGGTGCTGAGGGCAGTGGGGCATGCTGGGGAAGGGGGTCTGCATTTAGGGACCCTGGGGAGGTCTGGCTGCTGGAAGGAAGCAGGGAGGAGGTTTGTGCATCAGCCAACTGGGTGGCCTTTGGTGAGGGACCTGTGGCCTTTCAGGCAAGTTTAATCACAGAGCAGGCAGAGAGCAGGGCTGGTCAAGCCCGGAGGCAGGTGGCATCCAGGGAGCCGGGATATATGAAGATAACGCAGGTGTATGAAGTTAACTGTCCTAGGACACCAGCACGATGCCTCCGAGTTCTTTGTCAGAAGGCTAAAAATGGCATGATTACACAATGCGGTCTGATACCTCAAATTCGCCCTTTTTTTCTCTCCCATTTGCTTTCTGAGTCATCTTTTCCTGCAGGCTTTGCAGATATAAAAAGTCTCAGATGTTGATTAGGCAAAGTATCGCATGGGGAGAGGCACGGTGCCTCTGGAAGCTCAGCTCCAAGCACAACGTTAGCAAGTGTTGGGACAAATGTGAAGTCTCCCAGAAGCACCTGACTTCCTTTTTGGTTTACAAAGCTGGTGCTTTACCCCAGCCGGCTCCAAGCTGCACTGTTGGTCTGTTCTCTCCCCAAGGGAGTCTCTCCAAACCGAATTTATCACCTGATGGGGAAAACACTGGCTTAAATCCCACGTATTTTGAGAAGCTGGGGGTTGGCATGGTGTGTCGTTTTTTGGTTTGTGGGTTTTTTCTTTCTCTTCTGCCGTCTCTGATTTACCCCTATGGTGCTGGAGAGAAAAAGCTTGAAACGAAACAAATGAAGGGGATTCCCAAATTCCTTTCCAAACACTGCTGACTTCAAAGGAGGCACAGATCCATGTGGAGCTGTGGAAGGTGCTGCAGGGAGCACGCTGGAGTGCACGGAGCTGCCGGCTGCGCCCCAGCTCCGTGCTGTTCAAAGTCTGAAATGCAAAAAAGCCCCCACATCCCTCCTCTCCCCATTGCATCTTGCTTGTAACTTCTCCAGATATCCCTGCAGTGGTACATCATCTTCCAAATCCCCAGAAATACTGGCCTGCAGTCCCGCGTTGCTGCACGAGGCAGGTCAGGGCCCTTCGGCCGAGCCCACCGGTGCAGGAGCTGTTGGGCTGTGGGTGGCAGCTGTGCCTTGCTGGCCCCTGCCTTCCCACCCAGCCCCCCTCACAGCTGCGTTCCCGTTTGCAGGCGTGGTGGTGGCCGAAAACATCAGCGCTGGGGCAGCGGCCAAAAAAAAAAAAAAAAAAAAACCCAACAACTTAGGTGACCGAACTTCTTAAAAAAATCAGTGCGTAAGGCGCAGTGTGGCGGGTCTGTGGCATCTGCAGGTGCGCATGTGAACGGGGCGGGTGGAGAGTGGGGGGTGCAGGGTAAGTTGCTTTTCCCACTAGAATTTGCTTTTGCACTAGCAGCTTCCCCCCCCCCCCCCAAAAAAAAAAAAAAAAACGAAAAACACCAAACCCCAAAATAATATTAAAAATTAAGTGCCCAAAGCAATTCAAAACCTCCCCAAAAGCAAAGACCCAGGCAGCTCTCGGGGGGCGGGGAGCACGGAGCGGCCGCGCACTGCCCTGACTTTGGGGGGGGGCGTGGGAGGGTGTCTGTCTTCCTGGGGTGCCCCCCCCCCCCCCCATTCCCGCGCGCGCTGATGGGGCGGGGCGGGGCAGCACGTGCCGCCGCAGCCGTTGCGCCGCCGCTCGCGCCGTTACCACAGACGCGGGGCGGGATGGCGGCGGCCGCTGCTCCGCCGCCGCCGTTCCGCACCTACGAGGAGTACCTGGAGCCGCAGGTGACGGCGCGGGACCTGCAGTACCTGGAGGTCGGTGGCGGGGAGGCGGGACACCGGCCCCCGGCGAAGCTCCCTCAGCGGGCCTCGGGCCGGTACCGGCCGCGGTGGCTCCTGAGGGGAGTCTGGCGCGTTGCTAGCTGGTGGAGGTTTTGGTGACCGTTAGGGGCAAGGGTCTCATTGGTAAAACCCACGTCCTGAGGGAACAAATTGTCCCGCTTGCTCCCGTGCCAGCTCTCCCCACGGGAGGGAGGTGGCACAGGGCTTGTGTACGGATAACCCCGCCGTCCCGAGTGGGCTGAAGCCCCTCTGCAGCGGGGCCGGCACGCAAGCAAGCTTCGAAGCGCGGGTCTGAACCAGAAAGCCTTGCACGGGAGCAGCCATTTGTTCCGTGGTACTTGCTGTCAATTCCTACCCAGAGAAACGAAATGTGGTAATAAGCACCTCGTCTGTCTAAAGCAATAGGATGAGACGAAGACAGCGAGGCTGGCTTTGATGTGCATAGGCAGCTTCCAGCTAGTGCTGGCGTGGTTCTTAACCCAAACTGGGAAGATCTACCGTGGGTCCCGTGCTTACGAAGCCTAATTTTTAGGCTGAATCATTCAAAAGGATGGGGCTGGCTGCTGAACTTCTGACCTTTAAAAATGATATTGCACGTTGCTCCGTGGAAAAATACTGTGAGGAAAGTTGCAAAAGGTTTCCTGTCTCCCACTTAGAAGGCAGGTGGCGTGGAAAACGGTTCCTATTGCTTACGGATTTGCTCTCGGAAAGCTGCTACCTAACTCTCTGGTTTTAAGAAATCAGGACGGGGTCTGGCAGCCTGCCTGCAGCCTGGGAAGGGCTGGCCCTGGCGCCGGGCTGGCGTGGAAGCGGCAGGGGATATTTCCTGGGATGCTTTCGCTGTCAGGGCTTATCAGGTGCCCCTGCTTCAGCTGGAGAAAATAACTGCCCCCCCAGCCCTGCCACCTCCTGCCCCAGCTCTCAACTTGTCCGTGTTACTCTCCTGCGTGGATGTCAGCTTAAACTCGGGAGTTGGTTTCCAGCTGGAGGTATAAAAAGGCACGCACGTCCTTTCCTGGGATCGAGGTGTGGTACAGGCAGAGGAAAGCGGGCAAGAAACCGCAGGGCTTCAGCCGCGGGGGTTTGGTCGCTGCTGTCGCGGGGATGGCAGAGGCTGTGGCGGCATGAACCCCCCCGAGGACCCCCGCCCCTCTGCCGGGGTGGCCTTCGGAGCTCCTTCCTCAGCGCCGTGCTTGCGAGTGCTCGGAGCAAGGCCGAGCCCGCCGGTGCCTGCAGCTCCCGGCTGCCCAGCACCGCTGCTTTCGGGCCGGCGCGGGTAGCCAGACCGCCTCCCTTTCCCCGAGCTCCGTCCTCCCGTCGCTTAGCGCCCGGGGAGCACCGGCGCTGGCCGCGGCGCCCTCGGGGCCAGGCCCCCGCGGAGAAGCAGGGAGCAGCGGCTGGGAGCGGCGGAGCGTCCCGGCGGGCTGCGGGAGAGCGGCCGCGGAGGGTTGGGGGGGTGTGAAGGGGGGGGCGAACGGGCACCCCCCGCCCCACCGGGGCAACCGCGGGGGCGCCCCGCCCGCCGCGCCGCCAGGGGGCGCTCTCCGCCCGCGGTGGCTGCCGCGGGGGGGGGGGGGGGGGGGGGGGAGCGTCCGCGGTGTCCCGGCGCTAACGGGGCTCCCTCCCCGTTTTTTTCCTTCCCGCAGAGCGAGGCGGTGGGGCGGCAGTTGGTGGAGCTGGGCTTCCGCGGCTCCGGGAACGTGATGCAGCGGGAGGAGTTCGAGGCTCGGGCGGCGGCGGCGGCCGCGGGGCTGACGGCGGTGGTCCCCCAGAAGTAAGTGCCTGCCTGGTCCCGGGGCGCACCTCGCTAGGCACCTGCCCTGCCGCGTTCTGCAACGGGGACCGTGTCTGCACCGCGACCTCGCAGCCTCCACTGATTCCCTTCCCCTGGTCAAACGGGCGTTGTAACACCCACTACCTGTCCCCAGCAGCTGAGTCCTGGCTGTCGGGGCTCTTTCATGGCTTGGGGGTGTGGATGTGTGTGCTGCACTTCCCTCTCACCCCTCCCCTAGGCTCTGATACCAGTGTACGGTAAATGAGGCAACCAAGCTTCTCAGGTACTAGATGTGTTTGAAACACCTAAATACTGCTGCTTGAATACCTGGGTCATCCTTTCAAAGTTGTAGCCCAGAAATGTGTGTTTTCTAACACTTCAGACTTCTGGGATTGATGGTTACAAGACAGGGAACACACTGTTAGAGCACGGGTGGCATATGAGAAGGGAAAATACCCTTTCTTTGCTGATCAGTTGTTAGACTTAGACGACCAAATTTATTCAGTAACATAGTCTAGAGTTCCTTTCCTGTCTATGGCAATGGTTAAGGTCATTTTGGTTCCTTGCGAGTGTTTCCCTGGGTCAGGGAGACTGGGATTGCTGTGGGAGTGCTCTCTTTATATAGGGTAGCTGAAGCAAATCACACAAAGGTCTATGAGACCTATCACTTAGGAAGAGATTTAAATGGCTTAGACTGGATGATGAGGGCTGCTTCGATTATTGTTACAAGGTGTCTGCTCTTTTATGTGGACTGTTTTACTTCCATTTCCAAAAGCCTTTGAGGGGAGAGCTGATTTACTCTCCAAAAGTCTCTGACAAAGGAAGTTCAAGCAGTACCTATGCAACATTATTTTATTTTTAGGCTTCTGTTTTGTTTTGAATTCTGCCATCTTATACTTGTTACAGGGTGTATAGCTACAGCATGCACTTTCCATGAAAACTCACATTGCATCAAGAATTCAGTGCTTGGCAATAAAGCTTTATTATATCATATGGTTGGTTCCCCCTACCTTTTTATTTTTTCACTTTCTTCACTGTTTAACCAACCTGCAAATCTTAAAACATTTAGCTGTTTACTTTTCTGGTTTATTCTTTTATTTGCCTCTCCGGAAAAAGAAATTAACAAACCCCATAAATAGTGAACTGTGGTTTTTTTTTTTTTTTTTTTTTTGGTGCCTTGCTACAAGAAGCTAAATAACATTATTAACAGAATACTCATTTTGTCAATGTGGCTGGTGAATAGTAGAGCCACTGAGCAGTCTTATTCTCCAGTGGTGCTTTTCCCTTTTCATGCTATAGTGAAATAATCATTTAATAATTTAACAGCATATATCAAATGCATTTCCTAGCATCTGTGGGCTGAGAATATGTGCTGTGTAGTTAAGCTATTGCCATATTTCATGTACAAATCTGTATCAAACTTTTATTCCAGGCATAAGGTGACATAACTGTTCATGTCACTATATGGAGAAATTAATTTTGCAAGACCAAAGGATTAATTATTTGTATAAAGGCAAAAAGGATTGATTTTTTTTTTTTTTTCTCATACGTGTTTAGACTTGTAACATTCTGTGGCTCATGCCCAGACATACTTAGCAGCAATATGAAGGCTGATGGTGACAGTGCTGATGAGGTCAGAAGAGTAAGAACTCAACTAAAATAACTGACCAGTTGGTCTTGTATTGTTCTTGTAAAGTATGTTTCTAAACCACTGATTGTTATTAATTACTCTTCTAGTGTTTCCATGTGTGGAGATGAGTGAAAATGAACTAAAGCCAGTGCTCTCTGTGCAGTTGTCTCTCTCCTTGGTGTCTTGAGTAGGTATTCTGTCTGGTTGTTTGCTTATTCTTTGTTTAGTTTCCCATTAGTTTGTAGGTAAAGATATCAGGGCTGACTCAGAGGGTGAAGTGGCCTATTTTGACTGCATCTGGTTGAGCAGGTTATCCAGACATCTGTGTCAGGAGTTGCTGCTGTCAGGACTTCTGAATTGCCTCCTTGCAAAAATGTATCTGTGGTTTTCTCTGAGCACAAAATTTTCCTCAAGTTGAGCTTGGCTGCACAGGTCTCAGAAACTGTCACTGTTAATTCTGACTGCCCAGATTATTTTTGCATATGAGAGCAAATGCCCTAGGCAGGTACCTTCAGGATTTCTGCTTTGAGTCCTTTTCATCCCTCGCCTACTGCCTTGACACTACTGTCCCATACAAAAGGATTGACAGGGGTATTTCCCACCCATGATAATCTCCTCCATCAAAGAAAAACAAATGTGAGTCTTTTAAGCTAAAGATGGGATATGTGGCTCAGAACTTTTATACAGTGAGGGGTTACTTGGATCAAAAGACAGAGAAGCTAGCTGGTAAGTGACTCTGTGTTCTCTTTGAGAAACAAACTTGTGTTTAATCATTTTGGAAATATCTGCAAGTGGCTGATATTCATAGCAATGAGGTTCCCACAGCCAGAGTGCTTCCGTGTGCCTTACTGATATAAGCACACTAAGCTTTAAGGAATGGTGTATACTATTGGTCTTGCACAACAACAGCTTCAAGCTCCACTTGCTAAAAAGTACTCAGACAAGCCAACAGCTGTAATATATATTGGCTCTGCTGCATTTCAGCTCCATGGTGTGCCACTGGGTATTATGCATAGCTTCTGTGTTTCCTGTAGGCTTCTGTAATTCCCATTCTATTTTTAGGGTTCGTCTGTCAGCAGTCAGAAACACTTAATTTACACAGGCTGTATTAGTTGGCAACCTTTCACTGCCATGCCTTTTACTGCTGCAGCTGTATCGCAGAACAATCACAGAAACTTGTAATTTATTGGAAATATAAAGCCTTATGCAAAGATTAGTAACTGGGAAGTGTCCGCTTAGCCACAACAAAATACTTCCAAGCATAGTTCTGTGGAGTAGCAATAAATCATCAAGACAGAATTTGGTAGATGATTTAGAGCAGTAGTAAAGGTGAGCACAAAGAAGGTGGTCACTCTTAGGCTGCTTCTCTGTTTCTGTAGTTGTTGCTTAAATGTAGCAGTCAGAGTTTACTCAAGACCTAAGTTTTCTTCTTCATGTGTAGGAAGGCTTATCTTGACTAATATTTGAAAAATTAGCTTCAGAGTAGGTACACATTACACCGTATTGCAAAGCTGCTTCTGATCAAGAGAGCCAATATTTTCCTTCAAATGTCTAGAATGGTAGTGTGGTTTTCCTCCGAATTCTTGCTCTGCCTTCCGAATGTGTCTTGCTTAGTTAAATAGCATTATCAGTTAAGACATGCACTTGGTAGGATTGGTAGTACTTCCTTTACAAATGGTTAAAATAAGTTGAGTACATATTGCAGAAAATGGATGTGGGTGGGCTGGAGGCAGTGCATTTATTTCTTCTTTTGGACTCTTTGTGAAGCAGTCTTAAACTTTTCTGGTTTTAGTGTCACATCTGAAGTCAAGTGAAAATTGATAGGGGAAAGTAAATAGAAGTAAGACTAGTTCCTTTAAATTGCTTCATGCTTTTCCACAAGAAAGGGGCACCATGAGAGTGTTGGGTTTGGGCTTTTTTTTTTTTTTTTTTTTTTGGTTAGAACAAAGAAACAGGATAATAAAAACCAGTGAACTTCAGACTTTGAGAGGCAGATAGAAGCGCAACATGCCATCTGTTATTTGCAACAAGGATGTGTGTGAGTTTCTTTGGGATTTGAAATGAAGGGGCTTGAGCCCAGGATTGTTTTTTATTTTCTTTAAAAGAAGCAAATTGGAAAGAGAGATGCTTTTTTTTTTTTTTTTTTTTTTTTTTTTTTTTTTTTTTTTTTTTGGTATTAGGTCATCTCTAAATGAGTGCAAGGTTATTTTATTCTTTCTGCTGTCCAGAGCGATAGAGGTGGAAAAATCTCATTCACGTTTGTCAAAAGAGTCTTGTAACGTGCATAGCACTGATGTTTAGGAAGAACTGTGTTTGTATACAGAATAAATAAAACTGGTTGACATCAGGTCAGGAAACAAGGTAGTTGTTTCAACTGGAAGTACAATGTTGCCTTATGATGCTTTAAGCTCCTCTTCTGGTGTAACCATCTGAGGCAGCAGCACTTTGTAACTGCTTTTGTATTTTACAAAGCCTGGATCCAGGCTGTGTGGACTTCCTGACATCTATATGGCACCTATATGTGCATTTTACTGTGGGATTACTGTGGCTACCAGGAAACTGCACTACTTCCACATGGATTTGAAGTGGCTTTTGAATGGCACAGGAGTATTCCCTACCTACCAGATTCAGTGCTACGCACCACCAATAGAGCTGTAAACCACTTCAACTCCCACTCTGCTGGTGTGCACGTTGAACAGGCATGTTTGGTGCTGCCCCGGTCACTGGTGTGGTTTCTGTAGCTGTGAGTTGTCTCTGACCCTATTCAGGGAGTTGGTAACACCTGCAGTCAAAGGAGGAGTGGCTGAAATGGGGAGGGTGTTTAGGATAAGCATCTTGTGTATCTCTGTGCTTCAGAGTTTTGGTGCCTTACCTGATGTAACCAGGAGAGGCCTCCCTCTACTTAAGATTCACAGTCCTTGTGTTCTCGTCTGACTGCTTAGTGGTATGAGTAGAGTATGATAAAGGGGAAAAACAAAACAAAACACAAAAAAAAAAACCACCCCAAAAACCAAACAGAAGAACTGGAGCTGTCCTTGTTAAAGTGTTAAAGCTTTCCTCTGGAGGACAGGCTTGTACTTCCATTCAGAGTATCGGGGCTGTATCACTCAGGCAGGTGGTAGAAATGCTGTGTAGCTACCTCTATGCAGGGATATTTGCAGCTGTGTCCTGGGAATTGCAAGAATAATGCCCAGCTACAGACTGCTCTGGAATGGGGCTCTGGGTCTTTGTCCTCCAAAATTGGTCCACTTAATGTGTAAAATACTTATTGGTTTTGTTTTGTTTTCTTTTATTTTTTTTTGGCCTGGGAAGGAGCATGAGGGTGACTAGTCAGCCCATCAGTCAGGACACATGCCTGAGAAGGGCAGGG